AATGGTATCTCCGCTCATTGTGGTCTGGATTCAGGTATCTCTGCCTTCCAGTAGTCTAGATTGCAGTATCTGTTCCTACTAGGGTCTAGAATAAGGTGTCCTACATACGGGAGAGTAGATTTAGGTACCCTGGGGGATCTGATACAGCAGCTACATGTACAACCCAACAACATCTATGTGTGCCGATGTTCCTGCTAAATATTTGTAGTTCTGTTCAGCCAGTCTTGTGATTCGCACACGACACAGCCAGATGGTAGGGCTGTTACACATATCCTGCAGTTCTGCAGCTTCCCAGCCTCCACCCCAATCAGTGGGGTATGGATGAGCATTAATACCACTGCTAGTTTTCTCTGCATCCTCCTGCAGTGCCTGAAACATGTTAGGATGACAGCCCCTCCCGTGAGGGAAGAGCTGGAAGAAGACCCTATGGAAATTTTTGGGGCTGGGAAATGCTGGGATTTGTAGTTCCACGCTTCATCATTTTTGTTTTTTCCCCAGACGCCATTACTCAGTTCAGTGGTTACGGCCAGACCGGGTCCCCATGCCTGCCTTAGATGACATTACTGCCAGGAGAGGCTGAAGGGTCTTCATTATACAGAGACGGCGCGGTGGGCAAACACAAGAGCTGGGCTCGCATACGCTCCTGCCATTAGACGCTCGGATGTGAAGAGATCCAATATGAGTGCCCCCCCCCCCCCCCTCCGCCACCTCCTCTATTGTCATCTCCTCTATCCCCCCCCCCCCCTGCCTGCGATGCCCCAGGGACACTTTTAATGGCTAGATTTGAATTCTTGTCCCCACAGGAGCCGCTGGCTGCCCATTAACCTGCAGAGACTCCACATTCCTGCTAACAAGAGAGTTAACAAAGCGCTCATTAATACCACCCCCCACAGTCGCATTAAAGCCGCAACGCATCTCCGATGCAGGAGAGCCCATGTGAGCTCCTGCTGATGATTAGAAGTCCAGCAAACAAAAGATCGACCTGTAGAAATCGCCTATTCCTCGCGCTATGGCGGCCACTTTTGTTTTCGCTGCGATTGATGCTAATTAAAAGCAAACCTGGACAGCCAATGAGCATTCTGACCATTAAAGTCCATTTAAAGGCGAACTCCGGGATAAGCAGATGTCATGTTCATCCATTTATCGCGTGTCATCTTCTGGAATCTCAGAGATCTTTGTGTCTTTCCTCCAGATCTGCGCAGTCATCCAGGGTGAGACTTCCTGGATTAAAGACCGCTCACTGCTGCCCTCTCTCCATGTGCAGGGTGTCTGGTCTCATCTCCGCCCCGCCTTTAGTTTTCTGAAGTAGGTGGATCCTGCTGGGCCCCTCCCACAGCTCTGCTCTCTCTCCATGTGCAGGGTGACTGGTCTCATCTCCGCCCTGCCTTTAGTTTTATGAAGTGGGTGGAGCCTGCTCGGCCCCTCCCATAGCTCCTCTCTCCATGTGCAGGGTGAATGGTCTCATCTTCACCCACGCCTTTAGTTTTCAGTAGTAGGTGGAGCCTCTGGGCTCCCATGCTCCATGTGCAGGGCGACTGGACTCATCTCCACCCCTCTTTTGGCAGGTAACCTTTAGAGGGTGGAGCCTGCTAGGCCCCTCCCACAACGCTGCTCTCTCTCCATGTGCAGGGCGACTGGTCTCATCTCTGCCCCGCCTTTAGTTTTCTGAAGTGGGTGGAGCCTGCGGGCTCCTCCCACAGCTCTGCTCTCTCCATGTGCAGGGGGACTGGTCTCATCTTCACCTACGCCTTTAGTTTTCAGTAGTGGGTGGAGCCTGCTGGGCCCCTCCCACAGTTCTGCTCTCTCTCCATGTGCAGGGCGACTGGTCTCATCTCCACCCCGCCTTTAGTTTTCTGAAGTGGGTGGGGCCTGCTGGGCCCCTCCCACAGCTCTTCTCTCTCTCCTTGTGCAGGGGGACTGGTCTTGTCTCCGCCCCTCCTTCTGCAACTAACCTTTAGGGGGTGGGGCCTGCTGGGCCCCTCCCACAGTTCTGCTCTCTCCATGTGCAGGGCGACTGGTCTCATCTCCGCCCACACCTTTAGTTTTCAGTAGTGGGTGGAGCCTGCTGGCCCCTCCCACAGCTCCTCTCTACACAGGCTATGTACAGCACAGTGATGATGTCACAGATAATATCGAGGTTTACCAAGGCATTTGTTGCGCACAAAGAGGGTTTTTATCCTTTGTGACTCTTGAAGAATAAATATAAATGAAAGTTTCTGTCTGAAGTTCAGCTTTAATTTACCTGGAATCTGGGTTTCATGCAATCTAATGCCGCCTATGCGACTTGCTGGTGGTGCTGTAGCCTCTTGTCCTATGATTCTGTGCATTTCAGACTCTCTTTCATTTATTTTTTATTTCAGATGCTTATATAGTGCCGACAATTTATGCCGCGCTTTACATATATATTGTACCGTCACATCAGTTCCCCGCCCCCGAGGAGCATACAATGTAAGGTCCCTAACTCACACTCATACATACACATACTAGAGCCAATTTAGACAGGAGCCAATTAACCTCCCAGCATGTCTTTGGAGCAGGGGCGGACTGACCATTTGGAAACTCGGGCACTGCCCGAGGGCCCGGGGTCAGTAGGGGGCCCCATGAGATGCCCCTGGTACCTTTGTCATAGGCTTTTTTGTGTTTGGGCAAGGACACAGGGGCCCCATGAACCCCTATTGACCAGGGGCCCCGTGAGTTGTCAGTCCGCCCCTGCTTTGGAGTGTGGGAGGAAACTGGAGTACCTGGAGGAAATCCACGCAGGCACAGGGAGAACATGCAAACTCCAGGCAGGTGGTGCCGTGTGTGGGATTTGAACCAACGACCCGAGTACTGCCAGGCGGAAGTGCTAACCATTTAGCCGCTGTGCTGCCCATGTTTTGTTGTGAGTGGGTGAGGTTGCAGTAGGCTCAGGATGAGGGTGGCGCTGGAACCAGGGAACATACTGACTGCTTTTTGAAATGCGGCAATTGAGTAAAAACAGTTTTTGAATCCCTCATCTCTGCTATTCCATTTAAGCAAACCTGTCGCTAAATTGAAAAATTATAAACCCCCATTAAGTCAGTATTTGGGATATACACGTTTGCCAGCCATGACAGGCTTGAGTCTGTGCGGTGGGATCTCTATCAGCACCATATCTGCGCATTGCAATTTTCTCCCATTATTGTTTGCAAAGTCTCATCAACATGATTATTCAGATTAAGTGGAATACTTTCACAAAGATCCAAAAAAGTTTTGAAAATGGTAATAAAATGAAACTCCAGGTTGATTAATTTTTTTTCCTTCACATACTACATTATTGAAATAGCTAATCCATAAAGTTTTTCTTATTTCCCTTTGTTGGTTTATTGTTACCTGTTGATCCTGCCAGTGGCGCTGTATAGGCTGGGTGTGGAGCACCATTAGCATTGTAGGCCCTCTGATCTGCATTTTGGAATCCCCATCAGAAGGAACATCATCAGGCCAGTGTCTAGTGACTTTATCAGGACAGTGTCCAGTGACGTCATCAGACCAGTGTCATCATCAGATCAGTGTCCAGTGACTTCATCAGTGACCAGTGTGTCCAGTCAGTGTCGTCATCAGATCAGTGTCCAGTGACATCATCAGACCAGTGTCTAGTGTTGTGATCAGATCAGTGTCCAGTGACATCATCAGATCAGTGTCCAGTGACGTCATCAGATCAGTGTCCAGTGACATTATCAGACCAGTGTCTAGTGTTGTGATCAGATCAGTGTCCACTAACGTCATAGAGCCAGTGTCCAGTGACACCATCAGGCCAGTGTCCAGTGACGCCATCAGATAATTGTCGTCATCAGGCCAGTGTCGTCATCAGGCCAGTGTCCAGTGATGCCATCAGGAGAGTGTCCAGTGACAACATCAGATCAGGATTGTCATCAGGTCAATGTCCACTGATGTCATCAGGCCAGTGTTCAGAGCTCTCAAGGTGTTGTCAGCCAGCAGATAGTTAATGTCCACCAGTAGCTAGTTTACCACCCATCATATGCTAGTTCAGGCCCACCCACCAGCCAGTAGTTCACACCAACCAGCCACTAGTAGATACCTCCCTAAATGCTAGTTCACACCCACTAAGTGCTATTTCACGCCCACCAGCCTTCAGTTGACACCCACTGGATGCTAGTTTATACCCACCAGCCACTAGTTCACACCCTCTAGATCAGTGGTTCTCAACCTTCCTAATGCCGTGACCCTTTAATACAATTCCTCATGTTGTGGTGACCCCCAACCATAAAATTATTTGCCCAGTAATTATAATTCATGAGTGTCGTTTTACCTCCAATACTGCTGCTTTCAGCACAGTAGCTGCTTTTAACAGAGTAGCTGCTTTCAACACAGTAGCTGCTTTCAACACAGTAGCTGCTCTTTACACATCGGAAATATGTGTTTTCTGATGGTCTTAGGTGACCCCTGTGAAAAGGTCATTCGACCCCCAAAGGGGTCGCGACCCACAGGTTGAGAACCACTGCTCTAGATGCTAGTTCATGCCCCACCAGCCACTAGTTCACACCCTCTAGATGCAGTTCATGCCCCACCAATCACTAGTTCACACCCTCTAGATCAGGGATGTCAAATTGGTGGCCCTCCAGCTGTTGCGAAACTACAAGTCCTATCATGCCTCTGCGGGGTCATGCTTGTAACTGTCAATCTTGCAATGCCTCATGGGACTAGTAGTTTGGCAACAGCTGGAGGACCACAAGTTTGACACCCGTGCTCTAGCTGCTAGTTCATGCCCACCAATCGCTAGTTCACACTCACTACGTACTAGTTCAAGCCTTCCAGCTGCAGAGAAAAAGTTGGTTTAGGAGAAGGTTTTGGTCACGTGACCACAGAAAAAAAATCAAAAATGATGACGATTTCTTAAAACATGTATGTGGGGGACTCTCAGAGCAATGGGGAGGTAGGAGCTATCAGGTGGGTTTAGGTAACCTTCCATCTGCTTTAAATACCTCTACAATGAAATGTGCTTCATTTCTTTACCTGTGCAGGCTCCACCGTGCAGTACGTTCCCACCGTGTGCAATGGTCGTGAGGTGGTGGACTCCACTACATCGTCCCTGTAACATGAGCAGGGGGCCAAGATGCAGCGATAACATCCCAGCTGTGGAAGATCCAGTCCTTAACAAGATGCTGGGCCAGACGGGGATTTCAAGCATCAACGCTGATGAAATTACTCAAAGCCAAAATGTTTTTGCCGAGTCTGATGGTGTTACAAAGTATCCGTCTTTCCCTGGTCATCTTGTTATGATGACTGTTTATGCCATCAAGGACTTGGTCCAGTGTTCCAAAATTACTGCTATTTTATTTATGGTGCAAATTGAAAGAACAGATGAGACGGGAGAGATCTTATATGGTGTTTAAAGGCACAAAGCCATCTTCGGCTTAGTGGTGGGATCTCAACTGGACAGAGCTCATGGCCAAATTTCCATCTCAGGTCTGGTGGTACCTTGACTGAACAGATCTCACGCTCAAACTGACATCTCAGGCCTGGTGGTGGAACCTTAAGTGGACGGATGTAATGGCCAAATTTCCATCTTGACTTTGGTGGTGGGATATCAACTGGACAAATCTTATGGCCAAACGTTCATGTCAGGCTTGGTGGTGGGACCTCAACTGGACAGAGCTAATGGCCAAATTTCCATCTCAGGCCTCCTGGTGGTTTCTTGACTGAACAGATCTCATAGTCAAACTTCCATCTTAAGCCTGGTGGTGGGACCATAACTGAACAGATTTCATGGGCAAACTTCTGTCTTGAGCTTGGTGGTGGGATATTAACTAGAGAGATCTTAAGGCCATATGTCAGGTCTGGTGGAAATGGCACTGATCCCATCTAAACTTCCGTCTTAGACCAGTGGGGAGTCCTCAACTGGACAGGTCTCATGGTCAAGCTTCCATCTTGGACTTGGTGGTGGGACTTCAATTGGACAGATCTTTAGGCCAAATGCCCATTTCTGGCCTGGAGGTGGAACCTTAACTAGACAGATCTCATGGCCAAATTTTCATCTCAAGCCTGATGGTGGGACCTCACTTGGACAGTTCTCATGGTTAAATGCCCATCTCTGACCTGGCGTTGGGACCTCAATTGGACAGATCTCATGGACAAATGCCCATCTCTGACCTGGAGGTGAGACCTCAACTGGACAGACCTCATGGTCAAATGCCATCTGTGACCTGGAGGTGGGACCTCAACTGGACAGCTCTCAAGGTCAAATGCCCATTTCTGACCTGGAGGTGGGACCTCAACTGGAAAGATCTCATGCCCAAGAACAATCTGGATGGACCTTTATCTGCAGGATCTAAAAGTCCTTTAACTCAAAAGCACAAAAACTATCTTGGTCCCAACAGATGGGGGAAACATAGAAATTGATTGTAGACTTTTCCACCAAGTATTGCACAAAAAGTAACAGCCTGTTTCCTAGTGGGATGCTAGTCTGCCCCATGGTCATATGGGGGGTTATGGGAATTGTAACGCCGATCTGGAGTATATGGGGCTGTGGGTGGTACTCGGGACTGGCGGTTACTGACCATTCCAAGAACAGAATTATTAGCGTGCCCATGTATCAAAATCTCCTCTTTTACTTCTTTGCACTAAATTTTGCAGAGACTCAGCAGCAGAAATATGAACCGTCTGCTGAATAAGTCAGATTATATTGTTATATCGTGTCATGCCAAAGCCGCAGTGTTCCTTCGCCTACAGACAGGGTCTCTTTATCAACCATTGAGTTTTGGAAGCACTTTCGCTTTGTACGGTATGAGTTGTTCTTATGAGTATTATGTAAATAAAATATCTGTTTGTAGTTTGAGGGGGTCAGTGCTTTGAAGGACTTTCCTGACGCTGTATGAAGGGAGCACTTTGAGGGACTTAAAGGCTAAGTTCACCTTTTTTTCCCCCCTAAAAGCCAGCTTCCCTGTGTACTCATATATCGGTTATGTACCTCTTTTACAGAAAAGAAAAATATTTCCACAAGTCCTAGACCAGGTATTACCTCAGCCTCTAGTTTGTTGTATAAAAAATTCCTCCATTACTCCTATTATCTGTCCCTTAGGTTGGGAAAACCATTAAAGACACAGGAAGGAGTTCACCAGCTACCCTCATTAACACACACCCTGCACATGCCCTCCCCCTCCAGGAGATTGCTCCCACCCACCTGTGTGCTCACATACAATCATTAGCAGTCTATATATCATTATCTGTTCTCACTAAATACACGGCCTATGACAGATTTTTTTTTTTTTTGTTCCTTCGTCTTGTACAGATTATTCATTTGGCAGAGTGTGCAGGAGCTGAGCGATCATAAGAGCCTATGTGGCTAGCTGTAGTATTGAAAACAGGAGAAGTGTGTCCCTGGAAGTCTGTAAAGCTCACCATATACTATAAGATCTCCCTGAGCGTTCTTTCACATGGACATTCTGATCAGGTCCACCTCTGCCCATTTTTCAGGCAGACCCGATCGGAAACTCCATTCTACTCTATGGTGCGGAGGGTTTAAATGGACACATATCAATTTACACCCACTGACATCGGATCTATCAAAAAGAGACGGATTGGGATCCAATCCCCCTTCCATCTGTTTTCATCTGACCGCCCATTGAGGAGAGTGAGCAGTAGCGGCGTGGACATAGTGCTGGTATCTGCTTACTCAGCAGGGATCAGTGGAGATCATGCAGATTATTGGTCTATTTTTTGGGGGATTTTTGGGGACACATAACGCCCACACTTCACGGGGAGGGGGGGGGAGCACTGTTTGGCATGTTTGCCCCGGGCCCTAGCTGACTTTGTCCCAAGACTGGTCTTCAACAGTACAGAATACATCCAGTTGGAAGTGACCACCTACTACTGAAATATCCAATCACCTGGATACAGGAGATCCTTCACAGACATGTTGGATTTACCTCCTCTTTGACATTGACCTACCAGAGAGAACTATGGAGGAAAACCACAATCTGGTCACACTATTAAAACAAAAAGAATTGGTGACGCTAAATCCAAAACAGCAGTGGTTGCTTTTGGCACCCTCTTTGGCTGCCCAGACATGGATGACGGTGTTGGGACCACCTAGGTGGATATGAATGTTGGAGTATCTTCCTACTACTCATGTGGATATGAATGTTGAGTTCTAATGAGTAACAGGAAGATACTCCAACATTCATGCCCACATAGGGGTTACCAACACCTTCGTCCATCCACCATGGAATATGTCAGGGCAGCCAACAACAGTGCCAAAAGCAACCATCACCATTTTGGAGAAGCCACAGCAGCTGCGAGACCTACAGCCAGCGGGAGGAACTAGAAGAAGAGGGATTCAGAGTACCAATTCTAAAGACAGCTTTTTGTTTTAATATCATGGCCAGATCATGTTTTCCGCCCATAGTTCTCTCTGGTAGGTCAATGTCAAAGAGGAGGTAAATCCAACATGTCTGAAGAATCTCCTGTATCCAGGTGATTAGATATCTAGTAGGAGGTGGTCACTTCCAACTGGATGTTGAAGACATTCTGTAGCTTCTTCAAGCTACTTGTTGAGGCCTAATGAGTATCAGGAAGATGCCCCAAGTGGCTTGGAGAAGCTATGGAATGTCTTCAACATTACGGATCACATCCAGTTGGAAGTGACCATCTACTCTTAGATATTCCATCATCTGCATAAAGGGGATCCTTCACAGACATGTTGGGTTTACCTCCCCCCTTTTTCACTGACCTACTAGAGAACCATGTGGGAAAAACATCATCTGGTCAAGATATTAAAACAAAAAGCTGTCTTTAGAATTGGTGACTCTTCTCGTTCCTCCTGGTGGATGTAGGTCACACAGCCATCGCAACTTCTCCAAAACGGCGATGGTTGCTTCTGGCGGCCTTTGGCTGCCCATTCCATAGTGAATGGATGAATGTGTTGGGACCACCTATAAGAATGTTGTCGAGTTCTAATGTATCAGGAAAAGACCCCAACATTTATATCCACATAGATGGTCCCAATACCTTCATCCATTCACCATGGAATGAGTCTTGGCAGCCAAGAGCGCCAGAAGCAACCATTGCCATTTTGAAGAAGCCACGGCAGCTGTGAGAACTTCCAGGCAGCGGGAGGAACTAGAAGAGGGATTCAGAATCACCAATTGTAAAGAGAGCCTTTTGTTTTAATATCATGACCAGATTGTATTTTTTTCCCCACATGGTTCTCTCTGGTAGGTCAATGTCAAAGAGGAGATAAACCCAACATGTCTGCAAAGGCTCTTCCATCTCAGGTGATGTGCTATCTAGTAGTACGCAGTCACTTTCAACTGGATGTGTTCCATAATATAGAAACCACTTGTTGATGTCTAATGAGTATCAGGAAGATACCCCAAGTGGCTTGGAGAAGCTACAGAACGTCTTCAACATTACAGAAGACATCCAGTTGATAGTGACCACCTACTACTAGGCATCCCATCACCTGGATACAGGAGATCCTTCACAGACATGTTGGGTTTATCTATTCTTTGACATTGGCCTACCATGTGAGAAAAACACGATCTGGTCAGGATATTATAAAAAAAAAAAAAAAAATCTCTTTAGAATTGGCGACTCTGACTCCCTCTTCTAGTTCCTCCCGCTGGATGTAGGTCACACAGCCGCAGCGGCTCCTCCAGAGCGGCGATGGTTGCTGCTGGCGCCCTCTGCGCTCTCTTTGGCTGCAGGTCACATTCCCGCTGTGAGCGGAATTATCTCCAAGTCTTTGTGTTTCCTATCTTCCGTATTATCGGAGGGGCTTAGCGGGTCCATTAGTCACCGGCTCTCTCCCCGGGAACAAAAGACCTTCGTAGCGGCATTCCGAGAGACACGCCGCACATTCTTTCAAGCTTTTCAATATATTCTTCCTGTAGCTTTGATAGAGCAATGTATGTGAGGGGCGATCACCTGAACCGACAACTTTAATAACGATTTCTTTCCCTTATTTAATGAAGACTTTTTAGTTCTCTGTGGGGGCAGATCCATTTGTTCAGTCCATATGCAGGCTGCGTATCCTGCTTAGTGCTGCTACACAGTGATTGGGCATTACTGTTCCTCCCTGCCAGTGGAGCCTGTTGTGTCCAACCTGACTCAAGAAGAAGCACTTCCTGCCGGCATCTCCTCATATATATTTATACACTGACCCTAGGTTCACATCTGTGCGGGTGGTGCCGCTGCGGATCCGCACACAAATCCGTGCAGCCGCACCAACCGCACAGGGAATTGCGGACCCGCGGGCAGGGGGGTCATTAGTTCTAATGGAACTCGGCCCGCGCTGGGAAATGCAACCGTACTGGGAACCTCGGCTGCATTTTACAAAGTAGTACAGGGACTTCTTGCGTACCTGCGTGTCACCAGCAGGGGAGTCCATTCAAATGAATGGGCTCTCATGCCCGAGCAAAATGAGGCCGCATAGGTGTGAACGGGGGTCAGCCTACAGTAGTTGCAGAACAGCATCCGAAAATGAAAGAAAAAAAAACAAAAAGCACAATAAAAAAAAAAGAATCAGCTTTCACAGCAAAATTTAGCTTTAAAACTAAAGATTTCTCCTGCAGTACTAATTTCTGTCACTAGATGTCCTCAGGTGCATGGCCAGCATCATGCAATCTACTTTCCCTGAGCCCAGTTCTGTCCCAGACCTGCCCTCAGCCTGTAACCGGACGATGAAAGAGGAAGCAGCGAAGCGCATCTCAGAGTGAGCTAATCTCTATGTCACTCTGCTCTCTCCTCCTATCAGCATGAATTGATTGGCACTTTGCGCTGCTCCTCCCCTCTCACACTCCAGCCCGGCTGGCTGATACCGAGGTCACATTCAGGTACTTGGGCTGCTTGTATTCAAAATCACTTTAAATGATTGTATTATTGATTACAGAGCTGCTTTTTTTGTCTTTTGTATCTGCTGTCAGGTATTTTTTTAGTAGCATCATTTCACGTCCTCTGCGGTCACAAATGTTTATTGTGCGGAAAAATACAAAAACAAAAAAAAAAAAACAAAACACATACGCAGCTTAAGCGCCCTTAGTTCTAGGGTGGAGGGAGACATCTACTGGACACATTGTAGATTACAAGTTTCCATTTCAAATGCTTGTGTTGTCCAACTTTTTAAAGTTTTGAATAAAGAAGGAGAGGGTTAAAACTGCCCCCCACCCATTTTTTTTTTTTTTTGTGCCATTGGGGAGAATAAGCTTCCAGTCCAGGAGAAGCAACAGGAAATGAGGCGGAATCTCTGCAAAGTGGAGCCAATTTCCATTTTCCGACAGTTGACTGGAACGTGTCCCCAATAGATGTCCCCTCACCTCTACTTCTTCCGAGACAGGTCCACTTTTAGGGCTGCGTGTGCAGGCCAGGGCTCAGAGCATTAGGTGTAGTCCCATGCACATGGGGGGAGACTACATTGGGGCCCCTGAAAAGCAGGGCAGTCCCCCCCCAAAAGGCAGAAATGTAGCCTGCACTGATAGAAGACGACAAGAAGAAAGCCGATGAGGTGTGCTGCTGGATTTATTTTATCCAATCAAAAGACTGAACACCACAAGCTGCGCACCCTTCTATTCATTCCCCTCCAGGTCTCCCCGGTCCTCCTTCCTACAATGGCAGCACCCCAATGTCTGCGCCTGCAGATGGCTCCACCCTCCCATCCTCTCCAAATCTACAGAATGCGGCCGGCGGCGGGGGGAGGGAGAAGACACACTGATGTTCACTTTCACAAATTTTATGAAATACGAAAGGTTGATAATTAAACATCTGAACAGGGAAAAAAAAAATAATCACAACGTCCAATCAGAAGTCTCAGGATCCTTCACTGTGCGGCTGCTTCCTCTTGAAGGGAATGATGTACAACCCGTTTCTGGCTTCTTTTAACCTCCACCAACGTCCGAGTCTGCCGCAGGAAGGAAAACAATGGCGACGTGTGAGTACAGGGGGGGTCTCAAGCAGAAAATACAAACTCTAGAATGTAAGGAGATGTGACCGATCTTCTATGACCTGTTTTTGTTGTCTGCAGCCCCGGAGTCGTACCGCTCTGTTCTTTAGCATGGAGGTGTTCCAAAGATCCCACAGTCACCCAGAGATTACCCAATACTGATTTACTGCTTGTGTGTGAGAGACTCGGATCAGTGGAGTACACCTAATGCTAAACCTTTACGGATGGAGACAACAAACTGCACTGCTGGAGCTGCCTGCCCACTGACATGCAGGAAGAAAAAAAAAAATATTACCAAGAAAACAGCCTTCACCCCTCCCACCACCTACCCTGAGATCTCACAGGATAGGAACAAGATGTCTCTGGAAGGGATTGAGGGGGGAGGAGGGGTTGGTTTGTAGCCTTCCCAGGGGGCCCCTGTGGGGCTTGGTTTAATACAGGCAGGGGACAAATGTCCTGTAGGAGAGTTTTCTTTAGGCCCATTTCACACGGGCGTTCCGTATGCCCGTTTACGGATGAAAAACCAATGAACAAAAAAAAAAACATGCAAATGTAAACCAATGAACAAAAAAAACAAACAATGAAAAAAAAACATGTAAACCAATGAAAAAAAAAAAAAAAAAAAACCCCAATGTAAACCAATGAAAAAAAAAAACCCCAATGTAAACCAATGAAAAAAAACCCACAATGTAAACCAATGAAAAACCCCAATGTAAACCAATGAAAAAAAAACACAATGTAAACCAATGAAAAAAATAAACACAATGTAAACCAATGAAAAAAAAAAACACAATGTAAACCAATGAAAAAAAAAAAACACAATGTAAACCAATGAAAAAAAAAAAACACAATGTAAACCAATGAAAAAAAAAAAAAAAAACACAAAAAAACCAACGAAAAAAAAAAAAAAACACAATGTAAACCAATGAAAAAAAAAAACACAATGTAAACCAATGAAAAAAACAAAAAAAAACACAAAAAAAAAAAAAAAAACCCCAATGTAAACCAATGAAAAACCCCAATGTAAACCAAAAAAAAAAAAAACCACAATGTAAACCAATGAAAAAAAAAAAAACCACAATGTAAACCAATGAAAAAAAAAAAAAAAAACCCCAATGTAAACCAATGAAAAAAAAAAAAACACAATGTAAAAAAAAAAAACCACAATGTAAACCAATGAAAAAAAAACAACACAACGTAAACCAATGAAAAAAAACCCACAATGTAAACCAATGAAAAACCCCAATGTAAACCAATGAAAAACCCCAATGTAAACCAATGAAAAAAAAAAAAAACCACAATGTAAACCAATGAAAAAAAAAAAATGATGTTAACCGATGAAAAAAAACAAATCTAAACTTATCCGTTTTTTCTTCGAAAAAAACGTGACTGAACTGAAGACAAAGAACGGAACGCCGGTGTGGAAGGGCCCATACTCATCAAGATGGGAAAAAAAAATGCAGACATGAAGTAGCAATAGGGTTTTCAAAATGACAAAAAACAAAAAGTAACTGACGCAACATGACCCGCCCAGAGAATCCCCGAGTGGTCTGCTCTTCTCATGGCTCCTCCTATAAAGGGGACCTCCGGGAAAGTCACGTCTGTTGGTACTTTCTGGTTCTCCAACCTGTAGAGGCACCTCGATGGTGACGGGACCAGAGCACACAGACAGGACTCTTTTCGGTGTTCACTAGAACTGAAAGCCCCAGAAATCATCTCACCTGTGTTCCTGGCCAACTCCAGCCACCAAAAACTCTGCCGTAGTCGAGAACTGGAGACAATTCACAAACCCAACCTGGATGAGGGGAGAAGACATTAAAAATGAATCGAAGTCCTCACAACAGACCTTTCAGAGACACAGTGGGGGCATCTACTACCAATACTGGTGACATCACCGAGACTGCAGCCTATCCATTCACTAGAGAGCGGTGACATCACTGAGAACGCAGCTTATCCATTCACTAGAGAGCGGTGACATCACTGAGAACGCAGCCTATCCATTCACTAGAGAGCGGTGACATCACTGAGAACGCAGCCTATCCATTCACTAGAGAGCGGTGACATCACTGAGAACGCAGCCTATCCCTTCACTAGAGAGCGGTGACATCACTGAGAACGCAGCCTATCCCTTCACTAGAGAGCGGTGACATCACTGAGAACGCAGCCTATCCCTTCACTAGAGAGCGGTGACATCACTGAGAACGCAGCCTATCCCTTCACTAGAGAGCGGTGACATCACTGAGAACGCAGCCTATCCCTTCACTAGAGAGCTGTGACATCACTGAGAACGCAGCCTATCCATTCACTAGAGAGCTGTGACATCACTGAGAACGCAGCCTATCCATTCACTAGAGAGCGGTGACATCACTGAGAACGCAGCCTATCCCTTCACTAGAGAGCGGTGACATCACTGAGAACGCAGCCTATCCATTCACTAGAGAGCGGTGACGTCACTGAGAACGCAGCCTATCCATTCACTAGAGAGCGGTGACATCACTGAGAACGCAGCCTATCCATTCACTAGAGAGCGGTGACATCACTGAGAACGCAGCCTATCCATTCACTAGAGAGCGGTGACATCACTGAGAACGCAGCCTATCCCTTCACTAGAGAGCTGTGACATCACTGAGAACGCAGCCTATCCATTCACTAGAGAGCTGTGACATCACTGAGAACGCAGCCTATCCCTTCACTAGAGAGCGGTGACATCACTGAGAACGCAGCCTATCCATTCACTAGAGAGCGGTGACGTCACTGAGAACGCAGCCTATCCCTTCACTAGAGAGCGGTGACGTCACTGAGAACGCAGCCTATCCATTCACTAGAGAGCGGCGACATCACTGAGAACGCAGCCTATCCATTCACTAGAGAGCGGTGACGTCACTGAGAACGCAGCCTATCCATTCACTAGAGAGCGGTGACATCACTGAGAACGCAGCCTATCCCTTCACTAGAGAGCGGGACGACGTCACTGAGAACGCAGCCTATCCCTTCACTAGAGAGCGGTGACATCACTGAGAACGCAGCCTATCCCTTCACTAGAGAGCGGTGACATCACTGAGAACGCAGCCTATCCCTTCACTAGAGAGCGGCGACATCACTGAGAACGCAGCCTATCCCTTCACTAGAGAGCGGCGACATCACTGAGAACGCAGCCTATCCCTTCACTAGAGAGCGGCGACATCACTGAGAACGCAGCCTATCCCTTCACTAGAGAGCGGCGACATCACTGAGAACGCAGCCTATCCATTCACTAGAGAGCGGCGACATCACTGAGAACGCAGCCTATCCCTTCACTAGAGAGCGTGACATCACTGAGAACGCAGCCTATCCTTCACTAGAGAGCGGCGACATCACTGAGAACGCAGCCTATCCCTTCACTAGAGAGCGGCGACATCACTGAGAACGCAGCCTATCCCTTCACTAGAGAGCTAGGAGGGCGACATCACTGAGAACGCAGCCTATCCCTTCACTAGAGAGCGGCGACATCACTGAGAACGCAGCCTATCCCTTCACTAGAGAGCGGGACATCACTGAGAACGCAGCCTATCCCTTCACTAGAGAGCGGCGACATCACAGAACGCAGCCTATCCCTTCACTAGAGAGCGGCGACATCACTGAGAACGCAGCCTATCCCTTCACTAGAGAGCGGCGACATCACTGAGAACGCAGCCCTATCCCTTCACTAGAGAGCGGAGACATCACTGAGAACGCAGCCTATCCTTCACTAGAGAGCGGTGACATCACTGAGAACGCAGCCTATCCCTTCACTAAGAGCGGCGACTCACTGAGAACGCAGCCTATCCCTTCACTAGAGAGCGGCGACATCACTGAGAACGCAGCCTATCCCTTCACTAGAGAGAGCGGTGACATCACTGAGAACGCAGCCTATCCCTTCACTAGAGAGCGGCGACATCACTGAGAACGCAGCCTATCCCTTCACTAGAGAGCGGCGACATCACTGAGAGAACGCAGCCTATCCCTTCACTAGAGAGCGGCGACATCACTGAGAACGCAGCCTATCCCTTCACTAGAGAGCGGCGACATCACTGAGAACGCAGCCTATCCCTTCACTAGAGAGCGGTGACATCACTGAGAACGCAGCCTATCCCTTCACTAGAGAGCGGCGACATCACTGAGAACGCAGCCTATCCCTTCACTAGAGAGCGGCGACATCACTGAGAACGCAGCCTATCCCTTCACTAGAGAGCGGTGACATCACTGAGAACGCAGCCTATCCCTTCACTAGAGAGCGGTGACATCACCGAGAACGCAGCCTATCCCTTCACTAGAGAGCGGTGACATCACTGAGAACACAGCCTATCCCTTCACTAGAGAGCGGTGACATCACGAGAATGCAGCCTTTCACTAGACAGCGGTGACATCACTGAGAACGCAGCCTATCCCTTCACTAGAGAGTGGCGACATCACTGAGAACGCAGCCTATCCATTCACGAGAACTACCTGTGGCCAAATGCAGGTAAGTCACCATTACCTAGGAAATGAACATGCGGTCATACATGACAACAGACTCTTATCTTTGCTGGTAACGGTTTAGGAGGTGCAGGTCAGACTGACCACTCAGGACTTACCAGGGGAATGGTGAAGAGGGGGTGCAGACCCCGGAATCCCTCCCCACACTGCCACAAACGCACGGAGCCGTCATGAGATCCTAGGAAGAGCAGAGACATGAGAGGAGCTCGCCATGTGAGACATACATACATGTGTTTCCTGTTACAATGTATCAATCCTTCAATGTTCATTTCCTGACAGTAAACTTCTGCAGAACATGTCGGGACCACATGAAGAACTAGAAAACCCAAAACTGCAGAGGTCCCCCCCCCATCACTGTGCATACCCCAGAATGAGAGTAGATGGTGCTGAGCATGCCGGGAGCCCCCCCCCCCCCCCCCAATTTTGGTGTTCTGGTGGAGGCATCATCTACAGGACGCCACTTCAAGGGTTCCTCCCACCAACAATGAAATGTTGGTTTCTGATCTCTCAGGGACTCCACTGGCAAGATCGCTGAGCTGACCTACTGCTGCCGCCATAGCAAGGGGCCGGTGGTTCCCTAAATGTGTGTAATATTGTAAAAAGAAGACGGAGAAAGCGAAAGCTCCACCCAGAACTATCACTGATGGACCCTTCAAAATGGAGTACACATTCAAAAGTCATACCGGAGGCGACCACATTGCTGTTCAGCACGGCAGACACGGCCGAGATCCAATGGGGCTCCTCCAAGCCGGGGACCCCATGCTTCCCGTGTGCGCACTTTACCCGAGCAAGGGGCTTCTTCTTCGACACGTTCCACACCGCGATGGAGCTACAAAAAGGAAGGAGAGGTAAGAGATCATACTGGAGGAGCTGGGCCGGCATTTCCACTTCTACTGATGATGGAGTCTGTATTCCGAATGCCCAATTTATTCTCCGGCCTCACTGACAGGTGACGTCTTCTGCCTTCCTGGAGAGAAAAATCACCAAAACACGGCGATATTACTTCAACCCCGATAGACTTTTATTCTGCTCCTTTCTGGAGGGAGGAAACTGCCGCTTAATGCAAAATTCTGTCTGTTTAGAGGAGTGCCAGATTTACCCACTTGTGGACCAATCCCCCCTCTGGCCCCTCCCCTCCAGTCCCGCGCAGGCGTGCAGGCCCCTCCCCTCCAGTCCCCGCGCAGGCGTGCGGCCCCCTCCCCTCCAGTCCCGCGCAGGCGTAGCGGCCCCCTCCCCTCCAGTCCCGCGCAGGCGTAGCGGCCCCCCTCCCCTCCAGTCCGCGCGCAGTGCCACCTGTCAGTAGCAGGGGTAGCGGCCCCCTCCCCTCCAGTCCCGCGCAGGCGTAGCGGCCCCCTCCCCTCCAGTCCCGCGCAGGCGTAGCGGCCCCCTCCCCTCCAGTGCCGCGCCGCAGTAGCCCCCCTCCCCTCCAGTCTCGCGCAGGCGTAGCGGCCCCCTCCCCTCCAGTCTTGCGCAGGCGTAGCGGCCCCCTCCCCTCCAGGCTTGCGCAGGCGTAGCGGCCCCCTCCCCCCAAATTTTGCTTGCGCAGGCGTAGCGGCCCCCTCCCCTCCAGGCTTGCGCAGGCGTAGCGGGCCCCTCCCCTCCAGGCTTGCGCGCAGGCGTAGCGGACCCTCCCCTGGACTGAAACATACTTTAAGAACAACATGCGGGTGATTCACTTCCTTCACCCACCTGAAGAGGACACGCAGCACACTTGACCATAAGAAAGAAAAAAAAAAGTACACAACAACCACCTTAAAAAAAACAAGTCAGGGCCACCTACCCATCATCTGCTCCGGAGACCATGTGCTCCTCGTTTATCAACCGGATACAATCTATAGAACCCCTGGAAACCACAAATAAAGATCATTACATTTTTGCTGCCTGTGTGTCTGAGATTGTATTATTTCATATAGACAGACATATGTACAACTCAGCAAGCCTGGTCACCCAACTAATTCTTCAGGCTCTTCGCAACCCCCAATCTGTGTCTCTGCCCCTCCCACAATGGGGAGATTTCCCTCAGTAGTTTGTGTCTCTGCCCCTCCCACAATGGGGATGTTTCCTACATTAGTTTGTTCCTCTCTCCCCCCCACAATGGGGAGATTTCCTGCAGCAGTGTCTCTGCCCCTCCCACAATGGGGAGATTTCCCCCAATAATTTGTGTCTATGCCCCTCCCACAATGGGGAAACTTTCCTACATTAGTTTGTGCCTCTCTCCCTCCCACAATGGGGAGACATCCCTTAGTTTGCGTCTCTGCCCCTCCCACAATGGGGAGATTTCCCGCAGTAGTTTGCGTCTCTGCCCCTCCCACAATGGTTTGATTTCCCCCAGTACTTTGTGTCCATGCCCCTCCCACAATGGGGAATTGCCCCCAGTACTTTGTGTCCTATGCCCCTCCCACAATGGGGAATTGCCCCCAGTACTTTGTGTCTATGCCCCTCCCACTTACTCCTGCCCGCTGAAGACAAGCTGCGACTCTTCTGCGATCTTCCACACTCGGACCGTCCCATCTCGTCCTCCTGCCGTCACGCAGCGCTCTCGGCTCAGGCTGTCCAATCCGGTGACACAATCCTGGTGGCCGAAACTGAAGAGGAAGAATTTTGTGTTACGATGACATCACCGATTTCTAGATCTCTGACATATACCGTGGTGCAGTACAGAGACCGTGTACTATATATAGGGCGGAGCTGCACCACAGAGGGGCGGACACTGCTATCTGTAGATGGGTCACTTCTAAAAGCCGGCAGAGGCAGAAGCCAAGAGCGCATACAAACTCCATGCAGACAAGAGCCCAAACTCCATGCAGACAAGAGCCTAGCTAGGAAATGAACCACACTACCCTGTATAAATCTCTGTGCAGGTGACTGTGGCAGAGCAGGTGCAGGAATCGATTTTTTGGGGGTTTTGGGGAGGGGGAGCCATCCTTTTTACCAGTTTTGTAGCAGACAGTCCAAGAGGATATGCAGCACAGCAGGCCGTAAAGCACGGCACACTTACAGGGTCTCTATGTAGGAGTTCTCTGCGACATTCCAGACTTTGATAGAGCGATCGTGGGAGGCGCTGAACAGCTGATACGTCCCCTTCTGGAAGGAGAGTGCCTGTGAGGGCGGAGAAGTGAGGAGTTTTAAAAAAGTGAACTCCAGACAGCAGATGGAGAAATCTTACAATACCCTGACCACTGGATTCTACCCAATGGAAGGGGCGGGGGGGGGGTACCGGATCCAGGCCCCAAAGGATCGGCAGAGTTGCCCTTGAGTACCCCCCCTCATTTTTGCCTGGTAGCCATCATCCCAATCACATTTAAGTGGAGTCAGTGGTGGGGATGTTGCCAGGCAGGGTGAGCCGGGAGGTGCCAGCGGAGGATTCCCCAGAATGGAGAATGGCGGGCGGCACACGACCATCTGTTTGGGCTTCTTGGAGCCGGCCACAATGTCCTGCCAACACTGATCTATCAAAGTGGCAGCGCTGCCAGGGATGCTGATGACGGGGTGTGCAGACAGTGCTCCTGTACCATGCCCGGGGGGGGGGGAAATCATGTTCAGGTAGGCTGTACAGGACCCCATGGATTTCCAATAGCAAAGCTGCTGAAAGTGCAAAACCGCTCCATACTGTTTCCACATTCATGTGATTCCCCCCCCACCATCCTAAAGAGTGGGGTACAGAAATAAAATTCACAGGGATCTGGTTAAAAAAAAAAAAATCATCTTCCAGCGGGGGTCCGAGTGTCACAACTCAGATTCTTCACATCACAGTTCCTCCCCCCCACTCCCTTTACATCACAGACCCCCTACCCATATCACAGACTGCCCCATAACAGACACCCCCCCCCCATCACAGCTCCCCTCCATCATAGACTCCCTACCCCCATCACTGACATCCCATAACAGACCCCCCACAATCACAGCTCCACTCCATCACAGACTCCCTACCCCCCATCACTGACATCACATACCAGAGACCGGGATCTCACTGAAAAGCCCTAGGACCCGTTCTAACGAATGGGAGCCAGAACTCCCGATTCTGGGTCACCTGATCGCTGTGAGAGCCCCCTGACTGGCTATCACCGTCAGCAGTCACTGTGAAGCCTGCCCTCCTGTTTTCTCTCTTTGAATGAAGGAGAAAGATACATTGTATATATCTCTGTCCTTTCAGAGGGGAAAAAAAAACAAAAAAAAAACAAAAAAAAAGTGTGTAAACAGATAAAAAAAAAAAAAAAAAAAAAAAAAAAAAAAAAAAAACCTAGATGAAGGTTTGATCTAGGTCAGTGCCAGGGTTAGTGTTTTTGGTCAAGGTCAGGATTATTATTTTTTTTTTTTTTAAGTTAGTGACAGGGAAAAAAAAAAAAAAAAAAAAAAAAAAGCAAAATGCGCATTATAAACAACAAACAACGTACACTTGTGGTAATGCTGCACTCCTCAGGAGCAAGAGAAATTATTTTCAGTTCTTTGGTAGTAGGTTATGGTAGTAACAAGAAATATACAGCTAAATTTAATTATTTTTTTTTTATTATTTTGGGCCAATTTTTCTTTGATGAGTTAAAAAAAAAAAAAAACAGGTGATATCCATTACCATTTATCATCAAATTAAAGCCCAATTTGTCCTGAAAAAAAAAAAAAAAAACCAAGATATAATCCACCTGGGTACACAGAGTAGTAGTGATGATACGGACAGTTTTGCTAACAGGTCAAAGTTGCAAAATTGTGCTTAGGCGTTAAGATTTGTTGTACTCATAGGCAGGAAGGGGTTAAATACTGACAGAGGAGAGGAGGAGGTAAGTGACTCACAGACACGGCTCCTCGGTGTCCCTGGAACTTGTGAAGGTTCTGGCAGGTTTCTGCATTCCAGATGAAGATCAGTTTATTCTGATCACCCGAGGCCTGGAGGGGAACAAAAACCATTAGCGGCAATCGATCGATGACAACTTGTCATGTACTTAAATATACCGTATTTGCCGGCGTATAAGACGACCCCCCTACTTTTCCTGCTAAAATGTAGTGTTTGGGCTATACTCGCCGTATAAGACTACCCCTCTTCCAATGCACACCAGTGGGAGGAATAGTGCCCCATCATTGATGTCAGTGGGGAGGAATAGTGCCCCATCATTGGTGTCAGTGAGAGGAATAGTGCCCATCATTGGTGTCAGTGGGAGGAATAGTGCCCCATCATTGATGTCAGTGGGAGGAATAGTGCCCCATCATTGGTATCAGTGGGAGGAATAGTGCCCCATCATTGGTGTCAGTGGGAGGAATAGTGCCCCATCATTGGTGTCAGTGGGAGGAATATAGTGCCCCATCATTGGTATCAGTGGGGGGAATAGGTGCCCCATCATTGGTATCAGTGGCAGGAATAGTGCCCCATCATTGGTGTCAGTGGGAGGAATGGTGTCCCATCATTGGTGTCAGTGGGGGGTGGAATAGTGCCCCCATGGTGTCAGTGGGGGGTGGTGTCAGTCATTGGGGGGGGGGAATAGTGCCCCATCGTTGGTGTCAGTGGGGGGGGAGGAATAGTGCCGTCAGTGGGCGCGGGGGGGAGGAATAGTGCCCATCGTTTGGTGTCAGTGGGGGGGAGGAATAGTGCCCCATCATTGGTATCAGTGGGAGGAATAGTGCCCCATCGTTGGTATCAGTGGGAGGAATAGTGCCCCATCATTGGTATCAGTGACACCAATGATGACACCAATGGGCACTATTCCTCCCACTGACACTTGCTGACCCTGTTCTAGTACGGTGCTGCTGCAGCCAGCATATGTGGTTGCAGCAGCACCCTCTACACAGAGCACTTACCTGCTGCTCCGGCACTCAATTTTCGCGGGGCCGCTCGGCTCCGCCCCCTCGCCGGTGATTGGCCGCCTGTGTGCCTTTCCCGAGCTACAGTTCTGGCGGCCAATCACCGGTGAGGAGGCGGAGCCGCGCAGCCGCAACGAACATCCAGTGGCCGAACTGAAGGAGACGCCGCGCTTCCTGGACCGGATCGTCATGGGACTGGATCCAGGTAAGAGACGTCAGCCCCTGCAAACCCCTGTACTTAATGCCGCAGCCCCCCCTAACATGTGTACCGGCGTATAAGACGACCCCCGACTTTTGAGAAGATTTTCAAGGGTCAAAAAGTCGTCTTATACGCCGGCAAATACGGTATTATAAAATTAGAAAAAAAACATAAAAATAATATTTTTATTTAAGATGATTAAAGTATACCCCAAAAAAAAAAAAAAAAGTGTTTTGTCTTTAACCATTTCAATACCGGGCAATTTTCCCCCTTCCTGCCCAGGCCAGTTTTCACGTTTCAGCGCTCTCACACTTTGGGTACAATGAATGACAATTGCGGTCATACAACAAACTAAAATTTTATCATTTTCTTCACACAACTAGAGCTTTGTTTTGGTGGTATTTAATCACCGCGCTAAAGTTTTTATTTTTTTGCTAAATTAACAAGAAAAAGACCAAAAATGTTGAAAAAAAAAAAAAACAAAAACACACTCGTTTTCTTTGTTTCTGTTATAAAAGTTTGCAAATAAATAATTGTTCTTCATAAATTTAGGCCGAGATGTATATCTGCTACATGTCTTTGGTGAAAATAACCCAAAATTAGGATGTATTATTTAGTTTGTAGGAAGGTTACAGCGTTCACAAACTATGGTATAGATCTGAATATTGATCAATCCTGAAGTACTGGACAGCCAAATCTAATTCTTGAGGTCCAAGTACAGGAATGTCATGTCAGGACGGACTGATATCCCCCCAAATGTCAGGACGGTACAGATATCCCCCCAAATGTCAGGACAGGACAGATATCCCCCAAATGTCAGGACGGTACAGATATCCCCCAAATGTCAGGACGGTACAGATATCCCCCAAAATGTCAGGACGGTACAGATATCCCCCAAATGTCAGAACGGTAACAGATATCCCCCAAATGTCAGAACGGTACAGATATCCCCCAGATATCACCCAAATGTCAGATAAACAGGACAGATATCCCCCAAATGTCAGGGACAGATATCCCCAAATGTCAGGACAGATATCCCCAAAATGTCAGGACAGAGTTATCCCCAAATGTCAGGACAGATATCCCCCATAATGTCAGGACAGATATCCCCCAAATGACCCTTTTATTGCAGACAGTAGACAGTCCGACGTACTTCATAAGCGGCATGGCGAGTTTTTGGAAGTTGTATTTTGTCATAAATTTTTCAGAAAATTTAAAAATTTATAAAAATTAGTTTCCTAATATGTTTTTTTTTTTTTTTTTTTTTTTTACGCATATCTGTCCACCAGTGCAGTACAGCGTCTTAAGATTTTTGTTGTTACCATAGTATAACATTGTACATACTTTGGGGAAGTGATCAGTATGTTTTTTTTTTTTTTTTTAAACACAATTGCTTATAGCTAGAGATGAGCGAATACGAACCAGGCGAACCGGAATTCGAGTCGAATTTCAGGAATATATTCGATTCGCGGCGAAACCGAAATTTGCCTAATTCGGGTGCGCGACTCTCTCGATCGAACATTTCCCGATCAGACCGGCAAAAGTTGTCCCTGCAGTGAGCTCCGCTATTTCTGACAGTTCTCTGACAGAAGGAACACATGTTTAGCGGTTGAAACATTGTATCTATTAGTTTACATTTAGGATACCAGATGTTTCAACCGCTGTACATGTGAAGAAGCTGTGGGGATAGAACTGTCAGAAATGAGGAACTCTGCACATACACTTTTTGCCGGCATTGGGAATTTATTCCTTCTTTTCATCCTACTTCTTCCTCTTCTTCATCTTCATCTCAGAAAGAAGAGGATGAGGATGAGGATGAAGAAGAAGAAGTATGATGGAATAGTGAAGAATATTCCTAAGGCCGGCAAATAGTGTATGTGACAGAGTTCCTCTATTTCTGGACAGTTCTATCATGATGATGCTAGCTTCTTTCAACATGTACAGCGGTTGGAAACATCTGTATCCTAAATGGTAAACTAATACATACAATGGTTTCAACCGCTAGGCATGGGATGGACAGTCCCAGAGAACTGTCGGTGGGTTTAATAAGGTGACTATTTCTGACAGTCCAGGACATTCCCTCCATACAGCGGTTGAAACAGGCTGTATGGGATGAAGGTGAATGTCCGAGGAGAGAACTGTCATGAAAATAGACAGAAAACTGTCACAGAACTGTCCTTCTTGCTCATCATGATTCATCCTTCTCTCATCCTTCTCATCCTTCTCCTTCTCATCCTTCTTCTCCTTCTCTCCTTCGGATCCTTCTCCTTCATTCTCATCCTTCTCCTTCTTTCTCATCCTTCTCCTTCTTCTCATCCTTCTCTCCATCTTCTCATCCTTCTCCCCTTCTTCATCCTTCTCTCCTTTCTTCTCATCCTTCTCCTTCTTCTTCTCCTTCTCCATCTTCTCATCCTTCTCCTTCTTCTCATCCTTCTCCTTCTTCTCAGCCCTTCCTTCTCCTTCTTCTCCTTCTTCTCATCCTTCTCATCCTTCTCCTTCTTCTCATCCTTCTCCTCATCCTTCTCCTCATCCTTCATCTTCCTCATCCTTCTCCTCATCCTTCTCCTCCTTCTCCTTCTCTTCATCCTTCTCCTCATCCTTCTCTCATCTCATCCTTCTCCTCATCCTTCTCCTAATCCTTTCCTCATCCTTCTCATCCTTCTCCTTCATCCTTCTCCTTCTCATCCTCATACTTCTCATCCTTCTCAATCCTTCTCATTCATTTCTCCATCCTTCTCCTTCTTCTTCTCATCCTCCTCCTCCTTCCTTTCTCCTTCATCCTCATCTTCTTCTCATCCTTCTCCTTCTCCATCCTTTCTCCTTCTTCCTCATCCTTCTCTTCTAATCATCCTTCTCCTTCTACTCATCCTTCTCCTTCTCTCATCCCTTCTCCTTCTCCTCATCCTTCTCCTTCTTCTCATCCTTCTCCTTCTTCTCATCCTTCTCCTTCTTCTCATCCTTACTCCTTCTTCTCATCCTTCTCCTTCTTCAGCCTTCTCATCCTTCTCCTTCTTCTCATCCTTCTTCTTCTCATCCTTCTCCTTCTCTTTTCCTCATCTCCAAGGGCATTTAAATTAAAGGTACAGTGTTCTGCACTAATTTAAAGGCTACTCTGAAGCCTAGAAACCCTTTTTATAAGTCATCTTCGTAGCGAAGAAAATTTCGCATCGAATCGAGTAATTTCACACTGGAATTCGCCGAATCAGCCGAATCGGAATTTTTGAGAAATTCGCTCATCTCTACTTATAGCAAAAGAATTACTTTGCTATAAGCAAGCATTTAACCTGAATGAAATTGATTCATTCAGGGTTTTTTTTTTTTCTTGTGCTTAGCTGTGATTTGGCCACGGCTAATCACATGACATGTGCATGTGATTAGCTGTGACCATTCACAGCTAGGCACTAGTATACAATGGATGGCATGAATGAAGCCATCCATTGTATATACAACTGTCATGTGCCCTGCTGTAATTGGTCACAGCAGGTCACATGGTTACCGGCAACGGGGGGCGATACTCAGATCTGTCATTGGCCGTGTCGCCGAGGTACAACGGCCGGTGACAGATCGCGCCGCTGCACGGCTCTGCAGGAGCGCAATCTGCGCATGTGCGGGAAGGACGCCATATGGCGTCCACCCGGAACGCTGATGACATTTGCCAGCCGCCATTCGGCCATAGGGCGGGCAGCAAATGGTTAAGTTTTGGAGTAGAGAGGAATTAGAGGAAACCCGTCAGTTTTTTATTGCAGTCTGTGTCCATGTCGGGGAGATTCCATCCTCTTTGTCCCATTTATCATTATTAGTATTGAAAGTGAAAATAGAATAAAAACTCCACATTTTGAGTTTTCCCCCCCCCCCATAAAAGTAATAGAGAGGGAATCTGCCAATGGGGCACTAGTTCTGGTGGTCTGGGGTCCCTATGGGATTCACTCTCACTTGCCTATGGGACAGGGAGTGAAGGGAAATCTTCACAATGGGACACAGATGGCGAGAAAAAAAAAAGTTTTTCCTATAGTTCTACTTTAAATATTATTTTGATTTAGAGATTTTAATAAAACATTTAAATACAAAAAATATATATATTTTTTAATATTTTGCTATTATTTAAATTATACTACTACCACCACCACCGTTTATATTAGGATTTTATTTAAAGGGTAAAGTTCACCTTTTGCTAAAAAAAAAAAAAAATGCACTTTTTTTTTTCTTTACACAGGTAAAAAAAGTGCATTTATTATTTTTGGTTGCAGGTGCTGGAAAACCATGTTACCAGCGATCAGCAGATCCTTGGTGCCATTCAGGTCTCCTGCAGACCTGTCAGTATATCTGCTTCCTCATATGGGATGTACAGGATGTATGGGCAGATATACTAACAGGAAGAATCAATGAACTGCTGAGAACTACAAGCCAACAGCTACTAATGCTCTCGGGACTTGTAATTTCTCATTCACAGGAGGACTGTGAATGAGTAACGAGGCGGGGTGGGTGTAGGCCCACATTTGTTTAAAAATTTGACAGCTAGCAGGAGGAGAAGATCCCCCACTAGCTGTCAAAGAAAAGAGAAAAAAAGGAGAAAAAAGAAAAAGAAAAAAAAAAAAAAAAAAAAAAAGGAGAAAAAAAAAAGAAGGGGAAAGAAAAAAGAAAAAGAAAAGAAAAATAAAAACAGAAAAAAAAAAAAAAAAAAAAAAAGGAAAAGAAGAAAAAAACCCTCTAGCAATACACACCAAACTGAGTGAACCCTAGAGCTCTGTACTAAATCGGCAGATGGATTGGGGACAGTAGAAGAAGGGGAGGATCAAAGAAGACAGGATCAAACAGCCTTTGCAGAGGATTAACCCCTTAGGTCCCACAGTGAGTATACCCAGCATGCTTTGCTGCATCTACAGACGGATTGGACTGTTGCGGGTTCAGTAACACTTTAATAATTGTCCTCACCAAGTACTTCCCGTCCGATGACACCGCCATGCAGAGGATGTGCGCCGTGTGCCCCACGTGTGTCTGTTCGCAGCCCTTCCGCCCCCCAGGAATCTTGTGTACCTTCTTTCCATCGCTCACTGACCCTGCAGAACAAAAGCAATCGATGACAATTCCTCATCATTGACATCCAACAAGGCAAACTAAAGTGCCACTCCGCTCCAAACTCTCCACAGCTGCCGCTTCACCCAATCACAGCCTGCCAGTCAGCTCATCGCAGCCCACACATACACGCACACGTTTTCCCTTCAGGCCTAGAACATCTCGGGCCTTTAGAAGTCCTGGATCTGGAACCGATGATCAATGTAAGATGAGGAGCTGCAAGTTTATAAATATTTCCAGGACGAAGCTCAGGCACCATTTTTCCGAAAAAAAAACCCAGTAAGTGCAGCAACACCGATCTCAGGATCAATCTGTGATCATTTATTTGCAATGAAATCTGCAGAGCATTGCGCCTGTGATCAGTGCATGCCGGGTGCAACGTACAGGAACCTCCAGTGTCCTCCCCCCAGACTCAGCTCTGTACGGGGAGAGGGAGCGCCGCTGCAATGGGGATGGAGGGAGTGCACATGGACTACAGGGGGGAGGGTCCCAGTGGCAGGTGGGACTTGTAGTACTTCAATGGGAGGAGAACAGGGAAGAGAACAGGATGGGGAGGAGGAAGAGGAGGAGGAGAAGGAGGAAGACGAGGAGAAGGAGGAGAAGGAGGAAGACGAGGAGAAGGAGGAAGACGAGGAGAAGGAGGAAGACGAGGAGAAGGAGGAAGACGAGGAGAAGGAGGAAGACGAGGAGAAGGAGGAAGACGAGGAGAAGGAGGAAGACGAGGAGAAGGAGGAAAACGAGGAGAAGGAGGAAAACGAGGAGAAGGAGGAAAACGAGGAGAAGGAGGAAAACGAGGAGAAGGAGGAAAACGAGGAGAAGGAGGAAGACGAGGAGAAGGAGGAAGACGAGGAGAAGGAGGAGAACGAGGAGAACGAGAAGAACAAGAACGAGGAGAAGGAGGAAAACAAGGAGAAGGAGGAAGACGAGGAGAAGGAGGAGAACGAGGAGAACGAGAGAAGAACAAGAACGAGGAGAACGAGAAGAACAAGAACGAGGAGAACGAGAAGAACAAGAACGAGGAGAACGAGAAGAACAAGAACGAGGAGAACGAGAAGAACAAGAACGAGGAGAACGAGAAGAACAAGAACGAGGAGAACGAGAAGAACAAGAACGAGGAGAACGAGAAGAACAAGAACGAGGAGAACGAGAAGAACAAGAACGAGGAGAACGAGAAGAACAAGAACGAGGAGAACGAGAAGAACAAGAACGAGGAGAACGAGAAGAACAAGAACGAGAGAGAACGAGGAGGAGGAGGAGAAGGCCGAGAACGAGAAGAACGAGGACGAGGAGGAGCTGCATCGTGCTCCTTTAGGCTTGTTCCCAGGAATAATTGGGAGATTTGGGCTTAAAGTGGTTCTAAAGGCAGAAGGTAACATACCCCCATGTGTAGCGCCCCCCAATACTCACCTGAGCCCCCTCTCGATCCAGCAATGTTCATAAGAGCCTCAGCTGTACCAGGACTCCCTCTCCTCATTGGCTGACATAGCAGCAGAAGCCAGTGGCCAGTGAGCCAATGAGGGGGGGCGGCTTAGCCGCGGCTCTACGTGTCGTATGAACACACAGCAGTGCTTGAGAGTGAGCATGCGCCAGTGCCCCCATATCAAGCGGCTTGTATCAGGGTAACTGGTCAATGGGGGAGGGTCCAAGAGCGCTGGCAGGGGCCCCGAGAAGTGGATCGGGTTGCTCTGTGCACAACCATTACACAAAGCAGGTAAGTATAACATGTCTCTGCCCTCTCCCCCCATTACAGGGACCTGCTGTGCACCCAAGTAAAGTGTTAATGTTTCCACCATTCCCCCCCCCCCCCCCCCCCCCACTCACATTTGATGATGGAGCAATCCTTGGAGGCGGAGAAGACGTGTTTATCGTCCGGAGTGATGACAACGCAGGTGATGGGGAGCTGGTGACCACGAAGAAGGCGGAACTCGGAAGGATCTGGAGGCAGCAACTGGGGGCGGAGCCAGAGGGGAAATACAAATAGAAACAAAGTATCATCATAAAAGGAAGAGAGAGAGAGAGAAGTCAGAGCTATATAAATGTATAATAGTGTGCGACTGTGGGGGAGGGGGCATTAGAGAGTAAGCTCCTCTGGTAGGAGAGACTGATGTGACTGTGGGGGAGGGGGACATTAGAGTGTAAGCTCCTCTGGTGCGGAGACTGATGTGATTGTGGGGGAGGGGACATTAGAGTGTAAGCTCCTCTGGTGCAGAGACTGATGGGGCTGTGGAGGAGGGGACATTAGAGTGTAAGCTCCTCTGGTGCGGAGACTGATGTGACTGTGGGGGGAGGGGACATTAGAGTGTAAGCTCCTCTGGTACAGGAGACTGATGAGACTGTGTGGGGGAGGGGACATTAGAGCGTAAGCTCCTCTGGTACAGGAGACTGATGGGACTGTGGGGGACGGGACATTAGAGTGTAAGCTCCTCTGGTACAGGAGACTGATGGGGCTGTGGGGGAGGGGACATTAGAGTGTAAGCTCCTCTGGTACAGGAGACTGATGGGGCTGTGGGGGAGGGGACATTAGAGTGTAAGCTCCTCTGGTACAGAGACTGATGGGACTGGCTCAGTGATCTCTGTACAGCGCTGCGGTCTATGTCAGAGCTATGGAATGAATGTATGGGTTTGTGACGAAGCCCTGTTAAGCCGAAACGCGTCACCCTTTGTACCTGCGATGTCTTCACTGCAGCCGATTATTTAAAAAAAAAAAACGCAGATTTTGAAGCAATGGCGGAAGTGCGGATCGGTTTCATTTAATTATGGAATGAATGTTACCTCTTTGGCGAGCTGACGCTGAAGTCTTCCTCGCTGTTCAAGCTGCAGAGACAAGACAGTGATCAGTGCCGGCACCTCCCCCCCTCCTAGTCCCCGTGTTACATTTAGTAAGAATTCCTGTACAGACCCTGAAGACGATTTTTCTTTTATCTCATCATTACTACCTCATGTGATAAGACACTCCACAGAAGGGTTCCTCCAGAGGTTGTTAGGGGTTCCTTCAGCAATTTGCACCTCTCATAAGTTCCCACTGACACCATTGATCTTTTCAGCGATCTGTAAGGGGGGGGAGGGGGGAATTCCTCCCAGTGACCACAAGCGTAAGGAGCATTTTCCCCCTCTCACCATCACACTAATGTATCACGAGTTGTAGACAGTCATTTTTAGCCGGGGTTCCCTGAGCCTAGAAAGTTGGAAAGTCTGCTCTACAGTCTAACCGCTCTTACTGGAAAGAATCCCTCCCTAAAATCTTCATTTTCCCTGTGAGTGATAGAATACAAAAATTCTGTCCAATGTTCGCACTGACCTTGCTTAGATATTCATCAGAATTAAATCACTTTAAAGGCATACGTGCATCAACAAAATGGGCGGTCTTTAATGCCCACGGGCTGCACATATGCGTTTATGAGTGGCAGAGCTTTCTGTGCTCCTAGCGCAGCTCCTGATCATGCGACCAACAATCACATTGGTCACATGATTGGCCGATTCTTCCTCCGATCGTAAAAGACCCTGTTAAAGGGATTGCCAGGGCTGGGCAGAAAAAGTAAAAAAAAAAAAAAAAAAAAAAAAAAAAAAAAATCGCACCCCCCCTTCTGATGCTTGCATTAGGTGTGCTCCCCCTGCCACTCTGTTGGAACATTTGGAAATTCCCAGTGCTTGCAGGTATAGAAGGGGGCGGGGAGGCATTATTATTATTTCAGGTACTTGTATAGCGCCTGATTTGGATGTAAATACCCTCAAATTAAAGCTGACAGTCTGCAGTTAAAGCACATCTTGTTCGTTTCATTTCAAATCCATTGTGGTGGTGTATAGAGCCAAAAATGTTAGAATTGTGTCGCTGTCCCAATATTTATGGACCTGACTGTATATTGTACATTCACATCAGTCCCCCGCCCCCGAGGAGTGTACAATCTAAGGTCCCTAACTCACATTCATACATACACATACTAGGGACAATTTAGACAGGAGCCAGTTAACCTATCAGCATGTCTTTGGAGTGTGGGAGGAAACCAAAGTACCCGGAGGAAACCCGCACAGGCACAGGGAGAACATGCAAACTCCAGGCAGGTGGTGCCATGGTTTGGATTTGAACCAACGACCCGAGTACTGCCAGGCAGAAGTGCTAACCATTTAGCCACTGTGCTGCACGTGTGACCTTCCCCCCCCCCCCCCCCCCCCGAGCTGCAGCAGCCAATCACCAAGCCCCAATACTGTCACATGGGGGAGCTCATTGGCTGTATGTAAGCTCTGACACCGATATAGAGCTTACTCAGGTATCAGACTTCGGCTCCAGAGGAGGAAAGGGGCCTATCAAGAGAGAACCTGTCACATGACCAGGCCCAGTATGACCCCCTCCAGCGCACTCACCACATCCTCCTGTAAGCGGCTGGCTATGGCGTCCAGGCCCTCGTCCTCCAGTCGCTCCTCCTCTGAAGGACAGAGAACATTCAGACGTCATTATGAACAAACAGTGACAGAACAATGGCGCGGTGCAGTGCCCAGCCCCCGCCTCTCCTCACCCTGCGCCTGCAGCTGCTGCAGATACTCCCTTGGCCAATCGCAGCTTCTTCTCCTGCGCAGTCTCCTCCAGGTCCTCCTGCTCCTCCTCCGGCTTCCTGCGAGTCGGGGCTCTGGGTAGAGAACAGGCAATGATGAGGGAGAACAGAATTTCCCGGGTGAAAATAATAAAATAGAAAAAACGGGGGTGGAGGGGGGGGGGGGTTGTAGGTCTTGGGGTGGGGGACTCACACTTCGGTGTCAGAGTCGCTCTCGATCTCCTCCCGCAGATTCGCCTTTTTCTTTTTCTTCTGGGCGCCCCCATCATTCACCTGAAAGGACAAAAAAAATGTAAAATGTTAAAAAAAAAATATATATATATTTATATTAGGGGAAAAAAATTCTGGGTTACGGCTGCCGACCTTTAACCCTTTCGGAGCCGCTGAGGTATCTATCACAGCGGGTGCAGTGCCGGTATGTCAACAGACTCCCCCTACTGGCTACATAGCGGAAGTAACTTCTGTGATAGGTGAATGAAGGGGCCACCGTGTGCCCCGGGCTCACCTGCCCCTCCTAGGTGCCTGGGACCTCCATGGCGGGGGTTGGGATTGGTTAGTTCCCTGATCTGCCCTGTGATGTTTGAAAACCTGGAAAGCGCTCAGCTCTGATCACTTCTGAGTTCAGAGCAAATCGGGGGGAAGAAGCGGATTGAACACAGACTGTGCTTGATCAGCCTCAGGTGATTGGGGGGTCCAATAGTCCTCGAGGTCTCCTTAAAAGTGCAAGCTCACATTTTCATTCAAAATTAAAAGGTGAATTAACGTCCAAGTATCCAGCGCACCATCCCCCTGTGCCGCACTGCCCGGCGTAGTTGTCCGTACAGTGCAACGCACAGCCCCCCCCGGAGTGGGTATCCAGCATAATGCTCGCAAATGGAAAGTGCTTATTGGTCAGCACAGAGATCACGCTGACTAATAGAGAAGCACTTTTTTTTTGCTTTGGGACCCCTTTCTGGAAGAAGCCACTTCACATGAGCTTCTCATCATGGGTCAGCACTGTCATGTGTCTACGCTGACCAATGAGTGTTTGCATTATGCTGGATAATCACTTGGGGGGCTGCAGTGTATGGACAACTAGGAGTGGGGCATCACAAGCCGCTATGTACAGTAGGGTGGGCCACATATTTAGAGTTGTGTTCAACTATATTCATGGGAAAGGAGAACTCGCCCTCTAATCGGGGGGGGGGGGGGGGGGAGAAGAAGGAGTGCTCGTCCTCTAAGGGGAAGGGGGGGGGGTGAGAAGAGATGAGAGCTGCGCCCTCTAAGGGGTCGCAAAGGATGAAGGGGGGGGGAGAAGAAGAAGGATGAGCTCGCCCTCTAATGGGGGGGGGGGGAGAAGAAGAGAAGAGGGAGCGGGAGGAGGGCCTTAAGCCCTCTAAGGGGGGGGGGGGGGGGAGAATCAGGAGGAGGTCGTCCTCTAAGGGGGGGGGAAGAAGAGAGAGGCTCGTCCTCTAAGGGAAGGGTGGGGGAGGGGGAGAAGATAAGGTGAGGGGAATGGGCCCTCTGGGGGGGGGGGGGGGGGGGGAAGAGGGGGGAGGAAGGGGGGGGGGGGGAGAGGGCTCGCTAGTGGGGGGGGGGGGGGGGGGGGGAAGGAAGGAGGGGAGGGGGAAGAAGGGGGGGGGGGGGGGGAAGAAGAAGGGGCTCGCCCCTCTAAGGGGGGGGGGGGCTGGGGGAGGGAAGGAGCGGAGGCCCTCTAAGGTGGGGGGGGTGGGGGAGGGGGAAGGGGAGGAGGGGAGGGGGGGGGGGGGGGGGAAGAAGGGGGGGCGGTGCGCCCTCTAAGGGGGGGGGGGGGGATAGATAAGGGAGGGCCGCCTGACTGGGGGGGGGGGGTGAGAAAGAAGAGTGAGGATGGGGCTCGGCTCTATGGGGGGCGGGGGGCTGGGGGGGGGGGGGGAAGAAGAAGGAGCGCTCGCCGCCCTCTAAGGGGGGGGGGGGAGAAGAAGGAAGGACGGGGGGGGGGGGGCGGGCGGGAGCCCTGGGGGGGGGGGGGGGGGAATGGGGGGGAAGAAGGAGCGCTCGCCGCCCTCTGGGGGGGGGGTGGGGGGGAGGGGGGGGGGGGGTGGGGGGAAGACTGAGGGGGGGGCGGGGGGGGGAAGGGGGGGGAGGGGTGAGGGTAGGGGAAGGAGTGGGGGGCTTTCGGGAGCCCTCTAAGTGGGGGGGGGGGGGGTGAAGGGAGGGTGGGGGGGGGGGGGGGGGGGGGGGGGGGGGGGGGGAGAGGTGGGGGGAGTGGGGGGGAGGGGGGTTTCGGCGGGGGGGCCGGAGGAGGGGAGGGGGGGGGAAGGGGGGGAGGAGGGGGGGGAGGTGGGCTCGGGTGGGGAGGGGGACTAAGGGGGGGGGGGGGAGGGAGGAGGGCTCGGGGGGGGGGGGGGGGGGGGCGAGGGGGTGGTGGGAAGGAGGTCCGGGTGAGATGGGGGGGGGGGGAGGGGAGGGTAGAAGGTGCGGGGGGGGTCTAAGGGGGGGGAAGGGGGGGGGGGAAGAAGGTAGAGCTCGCCCTCTAAGGTGGGTGGGGGTGGGGGGGAGAGGGGGTAAGAGGGGGGTAGGGGGAGAAGGGGGAGATCTAGGCGCCTGGGGGGGGGGGGGGGTGGGACGGGGAAGAAGGAGAGCTCGTGGAACTAGGGGAGGGGGAGAGGGGAGGAAGGGGTCCTCTAAGGGGGGGGGGGGAAAGGTGGGGCATGCGGGGGGTGGGGGGGGGGCGGGGGGAGGGAAGGTGAGCTCACCCTCTGGGGAGGGGGGGGGGGGAAGAGGGCGTAGGGAGGGGGGGAGGGGGAAGGGGGTGGGGGGTGAGACTGGGTGGGGGGTGAGAGAGGAGGGGGAAGGACGTAGGGGCCAAGATAGGGGGGAGGGGGGGGGGGGATGAGGCTGGATGGAACAAGGAGTGAGGCTCGCGGGGGGAGGGGGGGGGGGGGGGGAGAGGAGAAGATAGGGTCGAGGGGGGAGCGATAGGGGGGGGGGGGGGGGGGGAGGGTGGGGGGGGGGGTGAAGGGGGGCTCGGGGGGGTGGCTTCTCTATCAAGGGGGGGGGGGGAGAGGGGGGAAGGCTGGAGAGGGGGGGGGGGGGGGGGGGGAGGGTGGGATAAGGGGGGGGAAGGAGAGGTCAACGGGGTATTAGGGGGAGGGGGGCAGGTGGAAGGGGGGGGGGGGGGGGGGGGGGAAGGGGGGGGGAGGAAGCAAGGAAGGAGAGCTGGGGGGGGGGGGGGGGGGGGGGTAAGTGGGGTGAGGCTCAGGGGGGGGGGGGGGGGGGGGGACGGAGGAAGGGGGAGAGGGGGGGGAGGGGGGGGGGGGGGGGGGGGGGGTTAGGGGGGGGGGGGGGGGTGGGAGTCGACCTCTAGGGGGGAGGGGGGGGGGGGTGGGGGGGGGGGTTGGGGGGGGGGAGGTGGGGGGGGGGGGAGCTCGCCCGGTAGGGGGGGGGGGGGGGGGGAGAGGAAGAAGGAGAGAGAGCTCAGGGGGGGGGGGGGGGGGGGGGGGAGGGAAGGAAGGGGGTGAGAGCTCGCCCCTCAAGGAGTGGGGGGGGGGGAGAGGGGGCGAGCGCAGGAAGGGGGGGGCTGGAGAGCTGGGGAGGGGGGGAGGGGGGGGGGGGGGGAGGAAGAAGGAGAGCTCACCCTCTAAGGGGGGGGGGGGGGGGAGGGGGGAGCTCCCTCTAGGGGGGGGGGGGAGAGGAAGGGAGGGGGGGGGGGGGGGGGGGGGAGGAGGGGAGAGCACTCGCCCTCTAGGGGGGGGGGGTAGGGAAGGGTGGACTAGAGGGGGGGGCGTAAGGGGGGGTAGTGGGGGGGGAGAGGAAGGGAGAGCTCACCCTCTAGGGGGGGGGGGGGGGGTGAAGGAGAGCTCGCCCTTACTGGGGGGGGGGGGGGAGGAAGAAGGGGAGAGGGGGGAGGGGGTAGGGGGGGGGGGAGAGGAAGAAGGAGAGCTCACCCTCTAGGGGGGGGGGGGGGGGGAGGAAGAAGGAGAGGCCCTCTAGGGGGAGGGGGGGGGGGGGGGGGGGGGAGAGGAAGGAAGAAGTCAGGGAGAGCTCGCCCTCTAAGGGGGGGGGGGAAAAGGAGGTCGGGGGGGGGGGGGTAGGGGGAGAGGAAGGATGGAGAGCTTCGCCCTCTAGGGGGGGGGGGGGGGGAGGAAGGAAGAAGGAGAGCTCGCCTCTAGGGGGGGGGGGGGGGAAGAGGAAGAAGGAGAGCTCGCCCTCTAGGGGTGGGGGGGGAGAGGAAGGAAGAAGGAGAGCTCGCCCTCTAGGGGGGGGGGGGGGGGGGAAGGGGGGGGGGGGAGGGGAAGGAGGGGGGGGTGGGGGGGAAGAAGGAGAGGGGGGGGGGGGGGGAGGAGGAAGAAGGAGAGCTCTGCCTCTAGGGGGGGGGGGGGAGAGGAAGGAAGAAGGAGAGCTCGCCCTCTAAGGGGGGGGGGGGAGATGGAGAGCTAGCCCTCTATAGGGGGGGGGGGGAAGAGAGGAGGGGAGAGCTCGCCACTCAGGGGGGGGGGAGGGGGGGAGGGGGGAGGGGGCACGCGATCTGGGGGATGGGGTGGGGGGAAGGAGGATGTGGGGCCTAGGGGGGGGGAGGGGGGGAGAAGGAGAGCTCGCCCTGGGGGTGGGGAGGGGAGGGGGTCCTCTAGGGGGGGGGAGAGGGGGGAGGCCCTCTAAGGGGGGGGGGGAACGGGGGTGCTGGGGGGGGGGGGGGGAGGAAGAAGGAGAGCTCGCCCTCTCGGGGGGGGGGGGGGGGAGGGAAGAAGGAGAGCTCGCCCTCTAAGGTGGGGGTGGGAGAGGAAGGGGGGAGGGCCTCTGGGGGGGGGGGGGGGAGAGGAAGAAGGAGAGCTCGCCCTCTAGGGGGGGGGGGGGGGGGGGGGGGGGGGGAGGGTGAAGGGGGGAGAGTCGCCCGGGGAGGGGGGGGGGGGGGAGGAGAGGAAAAGGGGGAGCTCGCCCTCTAGTAGGGGGGGGGGGGGAGAGGGGGGGAAGAGGGAGAGCTCGCCCTCTAGGGGGGGGGAGGGGGGGAGAGGGGGGGGCGGGGGGGGAGGGTGAGGAGAGCTCGCCCTCTAGGGGGGGGGGAGAGGGAAGGAAGGGGAGGGGGGGAGAGCTCGCCTCCCGCCCTCTAGGGGGGGGGGGGAGAGGAAGGGGAAGGATGGAGCTCGCCCTGGGGGGGGGGGAGAGGAAGGAAGAAGGAGAGCTTGGGGGGGGAGGGGAAGAGGGGGGGAGGGGGGGGGGGGGGAGGGAAGGAGAGCTCGCCCTCTAAGGGGGGGGAGGGGTAAGGAAGAAGGAGAGCTCTCTAAGGGGGCGCGGGGGAGAGGAAGGAAGAAGGAGAGCTCGGTCTCTAAGGGGGGGTGAGGGAAGGAAGAAGGAGAGGGGGGGACGCCTCTCTAAGGGGGGGGGAGAGGAAGGAAGAAGGAGAGCTCGCCCTCTAAGGGGGGGGAGAGAAGGAAGAAGGAGAGCTCGCCCCTAAAGGGGGGGGAGAGGGTGGAAGAAGGAGAGCTCGCCCTCTAAGGGGGGGGGAGAGGAAGGAAGAAGGAGAGCTCGCCCTCTAAGGGGGGAGGAGAGGAGAGGAAGAAGGAGAGTGTCGCCCTCTAAGGGGGGGGGGGGGAAGGAAGAAGGAGAGCTCGCCTCTAAGGGGGTGGGGGGGGGGGGCTCGGTAAGGGGGGGGGGAGAGGAAGAAGGAGAGCTCGCCCTCTAAGGGGGGGGGGAGAGGAAGAAGGAGAGCTCGCCCTCTAAATGGGGAGGAGAGCTTGCCCTTTAAATACCCCTGGAGGGGTTATTTACTAAACCTGGAGAGTCCAGAAATCTGGTGCAGAGCTCTGCATAGAAGAAACCAATCAGCTTCCAGGTTTTATTGTCAAAGCTTCATTGAACCAGCTGAAGTAGAAGCTGATTGGCTCCCATGCACAGCTGCACCAGATTTTTCACTAAATCACATGTAGTTTCCCAGTGTATTGGGGGGGGGTCCAGGCACACACTACTCTGTATATAGTATATGAAGACATGCTGGGCCATGTAGTTCCCATCACATAGTTTATGGGGGGTGACCCAGGCTGCAGAAACAGGGGACCCGTCACTGCTGGGGCCCACATACACTGTACTCCTGCACAGGGCATGCTGGGGCCATGTCACACAGTGTATGGGGGAGGGGTGGACCAGGCCCACACTGCACTGTAGATAAGTAGGGGGTCATGCTGCACCCATGGTGACACCCCCGTCCCCGGTGCTCACCTCCTTCCGCCGCCTCTCCGCTCTCTTCTTGTTGAACAGGCCAGACATGATTCGCACAGCACCGGACCCACGTGTGAGCTCCCCGCTCTCTTCCGGTCACGCCTACCGCACTCTCTGCATTGGCTGCAAGCAGGAAGCCACGCTCCCTAACATTCTCTATTGGACGTTGCATAGATGTTTGGGCTCTCAGGCTCCTATTGGACAGATACGATGTAGGACCGCCCACTCCTCGCTGCCTGCTGGAACGCAGCGTTCCAGTAACTACCTGGCAACCGGACAAGTGACAGGCCGAGGCCCCCGGAAGGAGGCTGTGCACACGTGGTGGGCATGTTCCAGTCAGCTCAGTCCCTCTCCTACCTCCCTTCCAGTCCCTCCTACCTCCCTTCAGTCCTCTGCAGTGTTCTCCCTGATTGCCCACCAGCTGAAATCAGGCTGTCAGTGGATGATTCCTGTGCTGCCTGTGACATGTGTCAGGTATTTGGGAGTGATCACACATCCAACTTCCACAGAGTCAGATCCATTATCACCGCAAAACCGGTGCAAAGTGTAATACCAACCGTTTTATATGCCCCCCCTTCCTCCTTTTCCTTCCTCCCTCCCTCCATTCCTTATTCCTCCATTACCTTCCTCCCTCTCTCCCACCCCCCCTACCTCCTTTCTTCCTTCCTACCTCCCTCCATTTCCTCTTCCTCCTCTCTCCCCTCCTCCCCACCTCCTTTTCTTCCTTCCTACCTCCCTCCTTCCTTTCCTCACCCTCCCTCACTCCTTATTCTCTCTCCCTCCTCCTTCCTTCCTGCCCTCCCTCCACTCCTTATTCCTCCCTCCTTCCTTCCTCTCTCCCTCCATTCCTTCCTTCCTCTCTCCCCCTTCATTCTTCCTCCCTCCTCCACTCCTTATTCCTCCATTCCTTCCTCCCCTCTCTCATCCCCCCTACCTTCCTCTCTCCCCTCCTTCCTACCTTTCTTCCTTCTCCTCCCTCTCATCCCCACCTTCCTACCTTTCCTTCCTTCCTTTCTCCCTCCTATCCTTCCTCGCCTCTCTCCCCCTTCCTCTCCTCTCTCCCTCCTTCCTTACCTTTCTTCCTTCCTCCCTCTCCTCCCCCAATCTTCATTCCTCTCTCTCCTCTCTTCATACCTTTCTTTCCTTCCTTTCTCCCTCCCTTCCTCCTTACCTCTTCTCCTTTTCTTCCTCCTTCCTTACTCCTTCTCTCCCCTTTCCTCCTCCCTCCTTCCTTCGCCACCACACCTAACCCTTCCTTTACTCTTCCCCACTTCTGTGACAATCGTGACGTCAGACCCCGCCCTTCTCACCAAACTCGTGACCGAAGGACTAGCCAATCTTAAACCACGATGTCACGTGCGTAACAATGCCACGCCTAGCTGCTGGCACCTGCACCACGATTTTCCAGCTCACTGGACCACAAATCGTGCATGTACCATCAGCCTGAGCGCGATTGTTACTGGGGTCAGATTAATTACGCAATTAACCCTTCACACTGCCACCACCTCCTTTTTTTTTTTACAGAGAAGGAGGAAACTCGGCAATATCAGCAATCCAACACTATGATGGTTGGATAAGCGTCTGTATACCACTGTCACCGCAGGCCGGGTATACAGAGGGTTAAACAAACAGTAGCGCTCTTCAGCAGCAGGAATTCATAAGTTGTATTAAAGAGCTTTAGAAACAGTTGAACACTTTCAGAAAGATAGATTTATTACTAAAAGGTCAAAAGGGTGCAATAAAAATATTTACAGAAAAAAGGTGTAACCAATATATATATAAATATACAGAGAACAACAGCACAGCAAACAGGTAACAGAAAGGAATTCAGAGGGTTAAGTACTTGCCAAGAAGCCGAGGGTTAAGCAGCTTCAAGTGTCATAAGTCAAAAGGATTTCTTGTCTCTACTGCTAGATTCGATGTTAAGCGCAGGAGACTCTTCTCTTCTCTCACAACTCTAAGCATAACAGCCTTTTTCTACCAAATCCCAGCAGGGTGTCTGGAGTAGTAACCAATGGTCTCCTTTTGGGGAGGGAGGTGTTGGGAGGAGACCTAAGTACAACCAGAATCTCTCATAGCTTATATTTGGCTCATAACTTTTCCTAGGTACATTTTCCGGCTTGGGCACTAGTATATTAACACTCAGCCGCATCTGCGGAATGGTTAGAGATGAAACATGAATATGCACTTGAATGGTTCAAGAGATATTCTTTTCTGCTTTTCTAGGTATGCCAGCTGAGGGGTGTCACATACCCCGGAGAATGGCCTCAAACTGAGCCTTCCGAATATAGGCTCCATGTTTAGGTAGTTATGTCCTATGTGAAGATATCAGCTTATATGGAAAGTGAGTTTTTAATAGTAAGTCTGTTTTTACGACCCCTTGGAAGGTCTTTTGAAGTTCAGTGAGGGACTCGGTTTGGTTTATACTTTTTTACGATATGCCAGATTGCACAGTTTCTTAGACAGCAAGGCACCCAGCTCGTGAGGTTTTATAGCTCGGAGCTTGCTGCTGTGCTTTGGCCGCCTGTGACACTTCTCATCACTCAGTCCCAGGGGCGGTCTGAAAACTCATGGGGCCCCCGGGCAATAGGGGATCATGGGGCCCCTGTGTCCTTGCCCAAACTCAAAAAGCCTATGAAAAAGGTACCAGGGGCATCTCATGGGGCCCCCTACTGACCCCGGGCCCTCAGGCAATGCCTGAGTTTCCAAATGGTCAGTCCGCCCCTGCTCAGTCCACATGTCACTGTGGATGAACAGAGAGGGAGGGGGATGATCAAAGAGGGGAGAAGGATCTACAAGATGGAGGTTTGGAGCAAAATGGTTGAACCGCGTCCATCTCTGTGTGTACGCTTCCTACACCTTCCTCCCTTCATTCCTCCCTCCCTCCTTCTTAACTCCCTTCTCTTTTTCTTCCTCTTTCCTCCCTCCCTAACCCTTCCTTCCTCCCTCCCTCCTTCCTCCCAGGCTGGGGAGGGTAGCTCTAGATTTATTATTTATTAATTTCAGGTACTTATATAGCGCCATCAATTTACGCAGCGCTTTTACATATATATATTGTACATTCACATCAGTCCCCGCCCCCAAGGAGCGTACAATCTAAGGTCCCTAACTCACATTCATACATACACATACTAGGGACAATTTAGACAGGATCCAATTCACCTACCAGCAGGTCTTTGGAGTGTGGGAGGAAACCAGAGTACCCGGAGGAAAACCCGCACAGGGAGAACATGCAAACTCCAGGCAGATGGTGCCGTGGTTGGGATTCAAACCAACGACCCGAGTACTGCCAGGCGGAAGTGCTAAACCATTTAGCCATCGTGCTGCCCATATGATGCTGGATGTCCTCCAGCCAGGAGATGAGGCGGAGCTCTATCTGACTGGCTGCAGCTTCTAATGCACATTGCGAGAAGCTCCCAGTGTGCAGTGACATCAGAGGCAGACGTTACAGTCCAGGGGAGGAGTCGGCACACCTGTGCAAGACTGGAGGGGAGGAGCCAGTACACCTGGGCCAGACTGGAGAGGAGGAGCCGGTACACCTGTGCAAGACTGAAGGGGAGGAGCCGGTACACCTGTGCAAAAATGAAGGGGAGGAGCTGGTACACCTGTGCAAGACTGAGGGGAGGAGCCGGTACACCTGTGCAAGAATGAAGGGGAGGAGCTGGTACACCTGTGCAAGACTGAAGGGGAGGAGCCGGTACACCTGTGCAAGACTGGAGGGGAGGAGCCGGTACACCTGTGCAAGACTGAAGGGGAGGAGCCATTACACCTATGTAAGACTGAAGGGGAGGAGCCGGTACACCTGTGCAAGACTGGAGGGGAGGAGCCGGTACACCTGTGCAAGACTGAAGGGGAGGAGCCATTACACCTATGCAAGACTGAAGGGGAGGAGCCGGTACACCTGTGCAAGACTGGAGGGGAGGAGCCGTCCATCTCTGCAAGACTGAAGGGAAGAGCTGCTACACCTGTGCAGGACTAAAGGGGAGGAGCCGGTACACCTGTGCAAGAATGACAGGGAGGACCTGTACAACTGTGCAAGTCTAAAGGGGAGGAGCCAGTACACCTGTGCAAGACTGAAGGGGAGGAGCCAGTACACCTATGCAAGACTGAAGGGGAGGAACCAGTACACCTGTGCAAGACTGAAGGGGAGGAGCCGATACACCTGTGCAAAACTGGAGGGGAGGAGCTGGTACATCTCTGCAAGACTGAAGGGGAGGAGCCGCTACACCTGTTCAGGACTGAAGGGGAGGAGCCGGTACACCTGTGCAAGACTGAAGGGGAGGAGCCGGTACACCTGTGCAAGACTGAAGGGGAGGAGCGATACACCTGTGCAAAACTGGAGGGGAGGAGCAGGTTCATCTCTGCAAGACTGAAGGGGAGGAGCCGCTACACCTGTTCAGGACAAAAGGGGAGGAGCCGGTACACCTGTGCAAGACTGAAGGGGAGGAGCCGATACACCTGTGCAAAACTGGAGGGGAGGAGCAGGTTCATCTCTGCAAGACTGAAGGGGAGGAGCCGCTACACCTGTTCAGGACTAAAGGGGAGGAGCCGGTACACCTGTGCAAGACTGAAGGGGAGGAGCCGGTACACCTGTGCAAGACTGAAGGGGAGGGGCGGAGGTGGGATTTAAATCTTTGTATTTCTTTGTTCTTCCCGGGACCTCTGTGTGTAAATATTGGGGGTATCAGAAACGGTTTTCAGAGTTGCAGCATTGTATCTATTTATATATTACTGTATCTATTTCTAAAGTTTGTAACTATCTGTAGATTTGTATCATTTTGTGGAATTATAGAATTGTATCAATGATCAGTATTGTATCTATTTATAGATTTGTGGAATTGTATCTATTTATAGATTTGTGGAATTGTATCTAATTATAGATTTGTATCTTTCTATGCATTTGTATTTGTGACATCTCTCTTCCGATGATATTGACCTCCGATCTCTCCGCATTGATCGATGGTGATCGATGGCTGGCTCGGTGCTCTCTGTGGGTTCTATGACTTTAATCGGGCATGGCGCTGACGTAGCAGTCGGGTGGTACGGCG